AAATTTTTTTTTACGTTTACTTTCAACAATAGATAACATGAAATACAGTGAAAGATATAGCAGAGAAATCATTTTGTTAAAGTTAAATACAAATAGAATAGATAGTGATTAATTTCCGTTCCTAACTGCATGTATATATACTACATTTAGAATAATTCAGCATTATTTTTAATTAGTCTGTTTAAAAAACCCTCGTTAATTAAAATAATCTATACTCTACTTTTTCTATACATTTTATTAATTAGAATAATATATATTCTACGAGGCTTCATGATTGAGACCACTTTTTTTTGATGATTATTAATTAGATTTAAAAAGTGGTCTCAATTTGGAATAGAGAGTTTGTTCTTTTCACATACTTTGTACACTGTTTATTATTTCGAATCACTTTTTAATTAGGAATGATTGGCTGTTGTACAGACAGAAACTGATTGAAATATTTTTCAAAACTGATGCTTAAAACTAAATTGAGCTGAGAGCGACATTACTGGATCGGGTGAGACTATAAAAATGAAGAGCATTACCTTGAAACATTCCTAATTAAAAAGTGATTCGAAATTATAAACAGTGTACAAAGTATGTGAAAAGAACAAACTCTCTATTCCAAATTGAGACCACATTTTATTTATATAAGAAACGAGAGAATATACGCATTCCAAATTGAGACCGCTTTTTCTACTATAAAATTTTCATTTCCAAATTGAGACCACTTTTTAAATCTAATTAATAATCATCAAAAAAAAGTGGTCTCAATCATGAAGTAGCCATATTCTACTTCAAGTTTTATTTTTCGACGAAACAGGAACACTAGAAAAAAAGTTGTACAAATTTTTTCGACGAAACAGGAAAATTAATCAAGCTTTCGACGAAACGGGAACTAACGCCCTGAACGTTCATTGTCAGCCCAAAAGCTACAGGAAAATTAATTTAGAGCTTTTCTTCTAAATTCTATAACTTTGCAAAGAAAGATCGTGTAGAGCTGGGAGATGTCTCATTTTAATCAGAAATTTACGCGTTACAATCATGCTTTGTTAAGAAAAGTTTCGGTTATTTTTTAGGATTTCTGAAAAACTGGTTTTCCAGAAGGGCGGATCTTCGAAGGGCTATGGGGAACCACTATGGTCATATTCGAAATCAGCATGGTCGATAACCTATAATCCATTAGATTTCGATCAAAAAGTGATTTATCACTTCGGGAGGTTCCTCGTAACTGACGGTTTTGTTAGATAAAATTCTGAGTATTTTAGCCGTCTCACTTTTCCAAAAATCGCATTTTAATTTTATCGAAAAATTTAAGGGCAAAGGTCCCACCTTGGAACATCGAAAAACGTTTTTTCTCTAAAATTTTCGAAACACATCTTTTCTGACTCAGAATTTTGTGCTGATCACGAATATGGGATCTAAAGTTAGAAAATGTAAACATTTTGTGAAGTCGAATGCCAAAAACTGAAGGTTGGTCAAGGTCAGTCCGATTGATAGTTTGCAGGTTTCCACCAAGAGTCATTCAAAAAACTTGAAACTAAACAGTTATTGGTAAAAAACATTGCTCTATCCAAATATGTAGACAGAAATGCAGTGTGAGCGTATTTTGAGTAAACATATTAAGAAAAAGAGGAAAAATAGTCAAAAAACGGCCAATAATTAGTGTTTTCAAGAACGTTCCACACCTTTTTCGATTTTTATTTTAGCATCAGTGGATAGAGCGTGAAAAACTGCGTCTAGCATGTAAGTTTCACATTGATTCACGATTTCGTTTGGAATGTAGAGGTGACACAGTGAAGGATTGTAACTGTTGATGCGCTTAAGTTATCCAATGCTGGGAATTTTCAAGTTTGTAAGTCACGAAAATATGGAGTGTATCCAGACATTAATGCATTTGGATTATCTGCATCATATATTATAAAATTGTAAATCGTCCATACTGCAGCTAAAAAGGATTAAAATCTCTGTTAAGATAGTCTGTTTTACGTAATCGTCTAGGAGACCTCATCGATATTATCGAGTTGCTGCAATGTGGAAATTTACAGTTCATTTAGTATCTACAATGAAATTATTCTACACCCGTAACACCCATACCATTGAAGTTGATTAGATATTGTCATCAAACAATTAATGTCTCTTATATCACGTTATTCATCTCGTTCTCTGTATTTTATTAATGGCAATCTTCTTTACACTTTACACAAATATTCTGACAGCCCTCACACCACGTCTTCGCACCACTTGGAGGCCGAGAACTAAATTGCAGCTTAGTCGCGATAATAGGTTTTATTCCGATAACGATGTCCGCTATCTCGATTAGGACTTCATAGAACAGAGTGATATCTTTATCTATTTATCGCGAAAAGGTTTTGTATAGTAGTCTAACGTGGCGTCTCAACAGATTTAAAACTCATCGAGTCGTAAAAAATATCATCTTTAATCACGATATTTTAGTGAAAAAAACCCTCACGGATGAGTACATTTCAAGACCAATCAAGAACTTTTAGATCTTAAGAAATCTTGAAGAAATCTTGGAATTGCGAACGATCAGATTGTTATTGGTTGATCATTGTTTATTCTTATATCAGTGAAAAAAGAGTCGAATGCGTCATTGAATTTCTGTTTATTGTGTGTGTAATTAATCTACAAGAATTCATCGAAAGCCCAAGTGGCAGATTGTAGGGTTTCGTGCCTATAACTACACAATGACTCATACATATTTGGAATCAACGTCAAATTCTGAGTAAAACTGCATTCTCAGATTGGTCAAATTCGCAAAAAAAATCTTTTTTGAAGAATTTTACGGCAAAGGTCCCGCTCAGGGAAGTCAAAGAATATTTTTTCTCTAAACTGCTAGAAAACCAAGTCTTTGGTTTTTTGTGCCAAAAGTTTGCAAACCACATATCCCGATAGAGGAAAGAATTCTGAACAGAATAGAATATCTTCCAGCTGTCCATAACGCTATTTCACCAGAATATTTTGGTAATTTGCACGCCCGTTGTACCATTCGTAAATCGGGTGTAATTGTGTGAAAAAGCGCTATAGACAGTCGGAAGATATTCTATTCAGAACTTGGTTTTCTAGTAGTCAGGTTTTCCCTCCGTGACATAATTGATTTTTATTGGTCTTTGGACATTTTGGCCTAAAATCGGTCAAATGATTTTTCGACAAAAGGACCCCGCCGGATAAGGGTCGAAATCTGCCCACTCTTGTTCCAAGCTAGTATCATGTTATATTTGTAGAGTGGTCCTTGTCTTATCAGAATATGATATTTGTTTGGTCCTAGCTTTAGACTAAAAATAAAAAAAGATGGTTTCCTACTGCATCTTAATGGTAGGGTTTAGTTCCATAAAATGATTTTGTCTTTCGAACAGAGCAATATTTTGAGATGTGCCCTCCACCAATAAATAGGGCATATTAACTTCTATAGAATACGTTGACCAACGTAAATTTAATATGTTTAAACAACATTTCAAAAACCTTTGATTTGATTCGCTGATCATGAACAATGGGCTTTTCTTGAAACATATCAAAGAAGATGAAGGGGATTTCATTCAAGTTAACTACACAACATTGGTAATCCATTGCCGAATCAAATCAAAGTTTCTTGAAACGTTGTTTAAACATATTAAATTTACGTTGGTCAACGTATTCTATAGAAGTTAATATGCCCTATTTATTGGTGGAAGGCACATCTCAAAATATTGCTTTGTTCAAAAGACAAAATCATTTTATGGAACTAAACCCTACCATTAAGTTGCAGTAGGAAACCATCGTTTTTATTTTTAGTCTAAAGCTAGGACCAAACAAATATCATATTCTGATAAGACAAGGACCACTCTACAAATATAACATGATACTGGCTTGGAACAAGAGTGGGCAGATTTCGACCCTTATCCGGCGGGGTTTTTTATCGAAAAATTATTTGACTTTTCGACTAAAATCAATGAAATTAAAACATAATAGGTAAAACACAAGATCTTTACAACATAATATGAAATGAATGTTTATGTTTCTGAAGGGAAACAGAAATATTTTATCATTCATTCATAACTTCTTGTGAGAGATCTTGCATATTAATTCTAACGTCTGGTTCGTTTAACATGAGTACCACCGATCCTGGTGAAAACAAGTACCTTTTCTGTTATGATGTGACTAGTAATGCTTCTGAGTATCGTTGCATCAAGCTGTAGAAGGTGCTAATATTCTTTTTTGTTTTTTTGTCCAACAAAGGACAAGATAAAACGAACAAAAAATGTGACGCTGAGTTTCATGTTTTTCGATTCTTATCATTTTTTATTGTCGAAGCATTTCTTCGTCTCTATTAGGAGAGACAATTTTTGAGTGACACAAGTATAATAAAATTAAAATTTATGCTGGAGAGAAATATTTCATCATTCATTCATGTGTTGTATAACGGCAGACTTTTTAAAAAGGTGAGATAGGCCAGGACTACTATCCATTTCAATGAACTCGGTCATAAGCTGAATAACTCCGGATAGGAAGCAGCTACATACCTTGCGGTTTTCAACATTCGAAAGAGAATAATATTTTTTATGTAAAAATATCAAAAGCTGATTGGTCGACAACTGACCTATATTTTGAGGTTTTTGGAGTGATCTAAGGTTAGCTGGCCGAAATCGGGGCTTTCGGGAAAATGCTTATAGTTCCTGTACAGAACAAGCTAAAGCGCTGGACCTTGTGTAGATCGATAGAGAACACTTTTCTCTATCGAACGGTTGTATTAGAATTTCAAATCCAACGGGGAATCTTTTCACTGGGCACTGTCCAACATGTCAAGCGAAAACTCATCTGATTGGTCAATTGTCGACCAATCAGCTTTTGATATTTTTACATAAAAAATATTATTCTCTTTCGAATGTTGAAAACCGCAAGGTATCTAGCTGCTTCCTATCCGGAGTTATTCAACTTACGACCGAGTGCATTAAAATGAATAGTAGTGCAGTCGTAGCTTCCATATTCTTCTGCACCTTTTTGTAGATAATTCAACTTATGAAATGAGCACCAGTACACGTTTCTTTGACATCGACACAACCATTAATTTATTGGTGGCACTTGCTGTCGTTACTGTGTCAGCTGAACAATGTGCTGTTACAGCGCGTACTGATTGTGGCTATATTGGAATCACTCAATCCGAATGTAAATCGCGACAATGTTGTTGGGCACCAAGCACCACTGGGTGTGACTGTTACTATCAAGCAGACCAAGTGCCCATATGGAATACTATATCTGTGACTGAAAATATCAATGTCAGCAGTGGTGTCATTACGATTTCAATTAATATTTCAACTTCAAATCGACAAGGTCAATATGGTGAAATGCCTTCTCAATTACAAGTGGACATTACCACTGAAACTAACGAACGTGTCCGAATCCGCATATTTGATCCAATGACTGAACGATGGGAGATTCCTCAGCGATTATTTCTACTACCAGGACCAATTTCAGCACGGAATCCATCATATAAAGTTACTCATAGTCAACTAAACCAAGAATTCTCGGTTCAAATCGTACGTATAAGTGATAGCGTTACTGTATTTTCTACCGCTGACCTACAATTTAGCGACCAATTTTTACAAATTTCTAATGTGTACCCTAACTTAAATGATTCTGGGCATAACATATATGGGCTGGGAGAGAGAGTCGAGTCATTTCGCTTACGGGTAGGAGAAACTTATACTCTTTGGAATCAAGATCCCGGTGGAACTGAACCTTTCATTAACTCATATGGTTCTCATCCTTTCTATTTGCAACTAATCGACAATGGTAATGCACATGGTACTTACTTACATAACTCGAATGGCATGGATGTGATGGTACAAGACGATCGTGTCACTTTTAAAACTGTCGGTGGTGTTTTAGATTTATTTGTTTTTACTGGTCCCAGTCCTCATGAAGTTATACAACAATATCATCATGTAATTGGTCATACTCATTTTCCTCCCTATTGGGCTTTGGGTTGGCATCAATGTCGTTGGGGCTATACGAATGTGGAGGAAGTAAAACAAGTCGTTGCTAATTATTCTGCAGCAGGTATTCCATTAGATACTATGTGGAACGATATTGATTATATGAATGCTCGACAGGATTGGACTTGGGATCCTGTTAACTATCCTGAAGATCAGATGAAACAGTTTGTCGAACAGTTACACGCAAATGGTCAACACTATGTAGTGATTGTAGATCCAGCAATTCACAAGTTAACTGGATATGGACCATATGACGATGGTTTGAAACGTCGTATTTTCATTACTGAAGCAGATGGAGAAACTCCATTTACTGGAGATTCAACTCCTGGTACAGCTACTTTCCCCGATTTCACTGATCCTGCTGCTCTTGATTACTGGTCAGACTGGATTGCCCACTTCTTGGCTGGCGTACCTTCAGATGGATTATGGATTGATATGAATGAAGTCTATAATGCCAATGACGGCGCGCCAACTAGTAATTCTTCTTTCAATAATCCTCCATATCCTATTAATAATCATGGTATTAAAGCTGGATTAAATTTTAGAACTTTATCTATGGATGCTTTGCACTACGATAAAGTAGCTGAATATAATATTCACAATATGTATGGATTAACTGAATCTATTGCAACACATCGTGCATTAGAAAATATTCGTGGTAAGCGTTCGTTTGTATTAAGTCGATCAACTTTCCCATCTTCCGGAGTTCGCGTTGCCCATTGGCTAGGTGATAATCATTCCACTTGGGCTGATTTGGCAGCTTCAATTGCCGGCATTCTTAATATGAATATGTTTGGTATTCCTTTATCGGGAGTTGATATTTGTGGTTTTAATTATGACACAACTGAGGAGTTATGTAATCGTTGGCAGGCATTGGGAGCTTTTTATCCTTTTACTCGTAATCATAATATACAAGGAGCCTTGCCACAAGAACCATATCGTTGGGCCTCAGTCACAGCAACTGCTAAGAAAACTTTAGCAGCACGTTATTCTATCCTACCTTATTTATACACTCAATTCTATTTATCCAATGCTTATGGAGGTATGGTAGCAAGACCATTGTTCTTTGATTTTCCAACTGATTCTACAACATGTGGAATTGATACACAATATTTATTAGGCCCAGCATTATTAATTTCTCCTGTAGTAATTGAAGGTGCAACATCGGTAAATGCATATTTCCCCCCTGAATCCAACTGGTATGAGTTTTGGACTGGTAAACTACAGCAATCGAATGGTTATCAAACACTGAATACTTCAATTGAACATATTCAAGTGCATATCAGAGGAGGTTCAATCATTCCTGGTCAACAGCCAGCACTCACTACTACCATCGCACGTACTCAATCTTACTTTTTAGTAGTTGCATTAAACATTACTAATCAAGCTAGAGGCGAGTTGTTTATTGATGACGGAGAATCACTTGACATTGGTCAAGAAGCTGTTTTCATCAGCTATTTTGCGACTAAGAATTGTGTTCAATCTGATGTTCTGCAAAACACTTATACATCGACTATTCCAAGTATGGATCAAGTTCAAGTGTATGGAGTTACCATTCAACCTTCAGTTAAAGTCAATGGACAAAGTTGGTCACAATTCACTTATGATAGTATAAACCATATTTTAGTGGTCAACGATTTAGGTTTATCAATGAGTACAAACTTCCAAATCACTTGGTAAATTACTATTTTTTGGCGTTTTTTTATTTCGTTTATTTATATATTTGTCTTCTTTGAATAATTAAGAGGCACTATCGATTCGCTGTCGACGACACGTTATTAAATATTGCTCTATATTTACTAAAACTGTCATAAAAAGCTTAAGCACAACAGTCAACCCTCCGTAGAGACCTATGATGGTTATCACCATATATACTGGATGAAGTCGTTCGTTGATTGTATAGGTGCAGACGCCGCATAGTATTGTCACAGGCCACACTTGTCCCCCATTGATGATCAGGAGCTTGTCGATAAGAGACTGAAAAGTAGCATTGGGAGAGGAGAGGGTGGGACTGAGTGGGTCGATAATGAAATTCGAGCGACGATACATAAAACGGAGTGTGTTAATGGATGAGACATTGTAGAAATCTTCAAGAGTCGATTGGAGCAGAGCTTCGAGTGGGTGCAGCATCCGACACGAAAACCGGGCAGAATTGTTCCATTGAGTTCTGTCTGCGAGGTATACATACACAAAGAGGTACACAAAGAGTTGCCATTACCGTAAGATCATGGTTCAGGCCATTCGATATGTCTGCTGAACATCGTTTTCAACGAAAGAAAATGGTTTCATGAAGCTGTACTTTCTCACTGATCATTATATTCATGTGTTGAACAGAGCTGCTGACGGGCTGAATTTCTTACAAGAGTACGCCGGGCGGCCAGTAATCGAATCGTTTTTCTGAAAGGTAAGTCTTTGGGTATGTCTTCTTTTTCGTTCGCTTATCTACTTTTGCCATCGACTGTAATAAATAACAGCGGGACAGTCTGTGAGAGCGCCGCCACATGACTCGGGTTCACTTCAATTTTTGTTCGTTGCATCACATGTGTGACCCTTCTCTCACCGTTTTAGTATCTATAGTATGTTCCATACATGGAACAAATCAGGCTTTTCGACCATCAATATCGGTACCAGTATCACTTGGTCTGATCGGGCCGACCGATCCGGACTTGGCACCGGCATTGAATCTACAATAAAATGAAAATCGAGCCGTAGGATGTAATAGACTATGTTCAACTCAAAATACAAACATTTTTCAAAAAAGACGTGGGCTGTCCGTCCCCTTAACCTAAACCTTGATCTTTCAACTGCTTAAGAATAAGTACACCATATGAAACACCTTGAAAAACTAAACAAACCTTTGCTCATAGTGATTACTCCATCTTGAGACCTGAAAACAGCACGACTAACAAGCCCAGCCCAGGACGAATTTTTCAGGGATGGTCCAGAAGTCTCTTTGTGAAATTTCACTTTACAAACAGACTTAGACTGGTGATAATATTCAAACTGTAACGTTTATCTACTTTTTCTATAGCCTCATACTGTCCTGTCCTCATGTAGGAAAACCAAGTGTATTACTGATCCCAAAAATTCTTTTCCGAAGCAAAATTCTTTTCGATGACAAGAAAACATTCAGTCATTGTATGTATTGCTTTACTCGTACTGGTAACACCTTCAATTGTACTCACACCGATCAGCACAAAAACTGTTGATAATAACTGCCGAGTTTTAATGACATCGACGTTATTGACCATTGATACTGTTTGTACATTTATACACATAGCTGGTCTTTGTTTATCACATATAGTTTCCATTATTTTAACTTTAACAAGTATCGTTCGTGTGTTATGTTTCAAAACTAAGTTTGTATTTTCATTTAAATATTTTGTAATTT